CACATGTGTCCCTCTTCTTCATGTCTCTTCTACATAAACATGTGTCCTCTCTTCTTCATGTCTCTTCTACATCAACATGTGTCCCCTCTTCTCCATGTCTCTTCTACATCAACATGTGTCCCCTCTTCTTCATGTCTCTCTACATCAACATGTGTCCCCTCTTCTCCATGTCTCTTCTACATCAACATGTGTCCCCTCTTCTTCATGTCTCTTCTACATCAACATGTGTCCCCTCTTCTTTCATGTCTCCTTCTTCTACATCAACATGTGTCCCCTCTTCTTCATGTCTCTTCTACATCAACATGTGTCCCCTCTTCTTCATATCTCTTCTACATCAACATGTGTCCCCTCTTCTTCATGTCTCTTCTACATCAACATGTGTCCCCTCTTCTCCATGTCTCTTCTACATCAACATGTGTCCCCTCTTCTTCATGTCTCTTCTACATCAACATGTGTCCCCTCTTCTCCATGTCTCTTCTACATCAACATGTGTCCCCTCTTCTTCATGTCTCTTCTACATCAACATGTGTCCCCTCTTCTCCATGTCTCTTCTACATCAACATGTGTCCCCTCTTCTTCATGTCTCTTCTTCATTAACATGTGTCCCCTCTTCCACATGTCTCTTCTACATCAACATGTGTCCCCTCTTCTCCATGTCTCTTCTACATCAACATGTGTCCCCTCTTCTTCATGTCTCTTTTACATCAACATGTGTCCCCTCTTCTTCATGTCTCTTCTACATCAACATGTGTCCCCCTCTTCTTCATGTCTCTTCTTCATCAACATGTGTCCCCTCTTCTTCATGTCTCTTCTACATCAACATGTGTCCACCTCTTCTTCATGTCTCTTCTACATCAACATGTGTCCCCTCTTCTTCATGTCTCTTCTACATCAACATGTGTCCCCTCTTCTTCATGTCTCTTCTACATCAACATGTGTCCCCTCTTCTTCATGTCTCTTCTACATCAACATGTGTCCCCTCTTCTTCATGTCTCTTCTACATCAACATGTGTCCCCTCTTCTTCATGTCTCTTCTACATCAACATGTGTCCCCTCTTCTTCATGTCTCTTCTACATCAACATGTGTCCCCTCTTCTTCATGTCTCTTCTACATCAACATGTGTCCCCTCTTCTTCATGTCTCTTCTACATCAACATGTGTCCCCTCTTCTTCATGTCTCTTCTACATCAACATGTGTCCCCTCTTCTTCATGTCTCTTCTACATCAACATGTGTCCCCTCTGTGGAAAGAGACTCTGAAAGTTTCAGGAAAAAAGATTCTCTCTTTTTTTGATCCATTTCTATAAAAACCTGTCTGAAAATGAGCTGATCAGATTTTGGCCACTTGATGATGTCATCACGATGTTTTGTCTTGTGTAGCCATTAACCAATCAGCAACCAAGGTAACCCCCCCCCCCCTTATCACCTGAACCTCCTCCTAGAGCTCCATTGAGTTCTTTGTAACCAAATGTCTCTCAGAGGGGCGTGGGGAGGGGCTCCTTACTTTCATCTAAAGTAACAGACAGAGAATCAGCACTTTGGAAATAGGGCTGAAACAGAGGGGATTATGGGTAATGCTGCAATGATCTGTTTGGTGTTTCAGCCAATCAGAGATAGGCTCTGGATATATCTGAGAGCTGGGATATAGTGATGAAGAAGAGGATGATAGGGGACCTTTAAAATAGGAGGAAAGGTTTTGTTAACACCTTGTGATAAATACCGTGATATTGTTTGTAAGGCAGTACCCTCCTCTCCCTCGCTCTGATTGGTCGAACCCCGTCTGTTTTTCAGACCGTCATCACCTGCATCGGGACGCTGAAGAAGAGCACGGCCGACGAAGATGGCGTCAGCTGTTTGGTGATCGGCACGGAGAGCTGCGACGTCTTCGTGCTCGACCCCGAGGCCTTCATCATCCTCTCCACAGTAAACCCATTCAAATCAACCGGTCTAGAGGTCGAGAGACGTACTGTGGGCGTGTACCGGTAGCTGGTCCATAGGGAACAGGTCCATCATCAGGTCCACCTGCCTGAGCGGTGGTACTACCTGCAACTAGAGACAGATTTAGCCGAAATATCAGGGAGATTGTTAAGCTTCAAAACTCACAGTCGTTGGGAACCGTACCGTCTTTGTTAGCTGAGTCAATGTGTTCTAAAGGATCACCTCCATAACCATAGGAGATCACTTCAGGAGCAACGCCACTGAGAATGGATCCTGGGTTACCAGACTGACCTGAGACCACAGAGAGGTTTAGGCAAGCTGCAGAGAAGTCTATGTTATGTTTCCTAACCAGTCTATAGGTTGGAAGACTTGCTGTCTTTTGTCATTGGGTTTGCATTGGTATGATGAGGAGCACCGCCATAGGGAACAGGTCCATCAACACGTCCACCGGTGGAAGCTGTGTTCCTACCGGTTTGACCTGGATCCAGAGACATATTTAGGCAAAACGTCCACGTTTTTAGGGAATAATGTGATGTAATGCCTCTAAACCAGTCTAAAGGTTTGAAAACGTACCTTCATTTGTAACGGAGTAGCCTGTGTTGGAGTATTGAGAAGCACCGCCATAGGGAACAGGTGCATCAGCGAGTCCTGAGGCAGCCGTGTTACTTTCTGCAACTAGAGACAGATGTATGCAGAAAGCTTCTGAACTAATCTAACAATGGTTGGGAATCTTACCATCTTTTTCACGAGGGTCCCTCTTAAGGATAAGATCCACCCTAATCGTGGCTTCAATCCTCTCCGAATTCTAATAGTTTCTGCTTCGGCTCACGTTCCATCTTCCTGTCTAGTTTGATTAAAATCAGCCCAGAGGTTTCTCTGAACATGAGTCTCTCTGAGGAGACCTGACAGAGACTCGATCCCTGAGCAGCGTCTCAAAGGGTTTCTAACGTGCAGAGGTGGGAAGTAGTGGAGTACAAATACTTTGTTACTGTACTTAAGTACATTTTTCTGGTATCAGTACTTTACTCCACTACATTTTACTTCGACTTCTGACATGTTGAACCCAAATACCTGTACTTTCTACTTCTTACATGTTGAACCCAAATACCTGTACTTTCTACTTCTTACATGTTGAACTCAAATACCTGTACTTTCTACTTCTTACATGTTGAACTCAAATACCTGTACTTTCTACTTCTTACATGTTGAACTCAAATACCTGAACTGGTTCCTTTAGTCTGAATGTGTGTTTGATGCGTGATCATTATTCTTTAGAGTCATTGCGTGCCTATTGATTTGAACACGATCCGTGTATCCATCATTTCCTGGTCTTCTCTAAAGAAGAGGGACCAATGGAAACGTTGTCATGGTGCCGTTGTTCAGCATGGAAACATTCATTAGCTAACAATGACATTATTGTTCTATTAATATAAAGGGAGGTCAGGTACTCTTCAATTCAATTCAATTCAAAACCTTTATTTATCAGGTAAAATCCCATTGAGATTAATGATCTCTTTTTCAAGGGAGACCTGCAGCAGTAGGTTCCACAAGAAGACATAAACAACAGAACAACAAAAGGACATCATACAGCAAAATGTACAGGGATTACAATTTACATATTTAACCACAAGTACAGGTACCAACAGCATCTGATTTTGTAGCATCCAACTGAGCTTTAAAAACATGTAGTGGTACTAGCTTGGTAATTTTCTATTCTTTTTGCAGACTGTTCCATGTTAGTGGAGCTGCACATCTAAAAGCAGCTCTTTAAAGCAGCTGCTAGTTATGGGTACTTTCTACTGAAGTACACTTCAAAGCCTCTTTACTTTGACTTGAGTAAAGAAGTTTAGTCAGTACTTCTACTTTCACCAGAGTACTTTTAAACACGAGTATCTGCACTTCTGCCTGAGTAAAGTGTGTACTTGTACTTGAGTAAAGTGTGTACTTGTACCCTCTCTCCTAACAGTGATTATCGTATGTTGCAGATGTCGCTGCCCCGCCCCCCCCACCATGATGGATGTTACCGGGCAGTTTGACGTTGAGTTTCGCATCACGGTGGCGTGTCGCAACGGAAACATCTACATCCTGCGCAGGTCAGGAAACCCACTCAACAATAATAACATATTAAGAGTTATATTACGGCACGTCCACACGGCCCGTCCACACGGCCCGTCCACACGGCGCGTCCACACGGCGCGTCCACACGGCGCGTCCACACGGCCCGTCCACACGGCCCGTCCACAAGGCGCGTCCACACGGCCCGTCCACACGGCGTGTCCACACGGTGCGTCCACACGGCCCGTCCACAAGGCGCGTCCACACGGCCCGTCCACACGGCGTGTCCACACGGTGCGTCCACACGGCCCGTCCACACGGCGTGTCCACACGGCGTGTCCACACGGCGTGTCCACACGGTGCGTCCACACGGCCCGTCCACACGGTGCGTCCACACGGCCCGTCCACAAGGCGCGTCCACACGGCCCGTCCACACGGCCCGTCCACACGGCCCGTCCACACGGCACGTCCACACGGCGTGTCCACACGGTGCGTCCACACGGCAGCGTGTGTTGAAGCGTGACAGAGGGCGTGCCAGAGGGCGTGTCTGGCGTGCGACCAACAACCAATCACATTCATCTCCCGCCCTGGACACACAAGCACGCGGTTTGATTGGCTAGCGCTTGTACTGGCATATGATTTGATTGGCTGGCGCTTCCGTCGACGCTTGAAAAGTTGAACTTTTCTCAACTTTCGAAGCGAGCGACGTACCCACAATGCAGTTCGGCAGAGCGTGACGGCACCCCATTCAAAGTGAATGGGAAGCGTCTCCGTTGAAGCACGCGACGCTGCCGTGGACGGGCCGTTAAAGCTGATTGCATACAGAGATACAGGCGAGGAAAGAAGTATTTGATCCCCTGCAGATTTGCCCTAACCCTAACCAGTCTATATTTGAATGGCAGGTTTATTTTAACAGTGAGAGTAAGAATATCAAAAAGAAAAACCAGAAGTTCTTGTTTGTTGAAAGGGGGTCAAATACTTATTTCCCAGTTAAATGCAAATACATTTTTACCGTTTATATAATGTCAATTTCTGGATTTTCTTTTTGATATTCTTACTCTCACCGTTAAAATACATCTACCATTACAAATACAGACTGTTCATTTCTTCGTAAGTGGGCAAACTTACAAAATCTGCAAGGGATCAAATACTTATTTCCTCCACTGTATATAAAGGGGGGGATATGTCCTCATATAATAATAAGAATAATAATAATAATAATAATAATCTAATAGTCCATTTTATTTATAAGCGCACTTTTCATTTGAGTAAACACAACTCAAAGTGCTGCAGAGTAAAATGGTTGAAACAAAACAACAACATATCCTCCTATGGCCAGCAGGCGTTGAGGCGTGTATTGATTTAAAACGTGACGCTGGTGTTTTTGTCGCCGCCCTGCAGGGAGTCGGAGAAACCGAAGTACTGCATCGAGCTGTCGAGCCACCCGGTGGGTCTGGTGCGGGTCGGGAAGAACGTGGTGGTGGGCTGCGCCGACGAGAGCCTGCAGGGGTTCACCCAGAAGGTAACAGTAGGGTTATTAGCAGAGAGGGCAAGAGTACACACATCCTGTACTCAAGTAGAAGTACACATCCTTTACTCAAGTAGAAGTACACACATCCTGTACTCAAGTAGAAGTACACACATCCTTTACTCAAGCAGAAGTACACACATCCTGTACTCAAGTAGAAGTACACATCCTTTACTCAAGGAGAAGTACACATCCTTTACTCAAGGAGAAGTACACATCCTTTACTCAAGTAGAAGTACACACATCCTGTACTCAAGTAGAAGTACACACATCCTGTACTCAAGTAGAAGTACACATCCTTTACTCAAGGAGAAGTACACATCCTTTACTCAAGTAGAAGTACACATCCTTTACTCAAGTAGAAGTACACACATCCTGTACTCAAGTAGAAGTACACATCCTTTACTCAAATAGAAGTACACACATCCTGTACTCAAGTAGAAGTACACATCCTTTACTCAAGTAGAAGTACACATCCTTTACTCAAGTAGAAGTACAAATCCTGTACTCAAGTAGAAGTACACATCCTTTACTCAAGTAGAAGTACACATCCTTTACTCAAGTAGAAGTACACACATCCTGTACTCAAGTAGAAGTACACACATCCTTTACTCAAGCAGAAGTACACACATCCTGTACTCAAGTAGAAGTACACAGATCCTGTACTCAAGTAGAAGTACACACAGCCTTTACTCGAGCAGAAGTACACACATCCTGTACTCAAGTAGAAGTACACACATCCTGTACTCAATTAGAAGTACACACATCCTGTACTCAAGTAGAAGTACACACATCCTTTCCTCAAGTAGAAGTACACATATCCTTTACTCAAGTAGAAGTACACACATCCTGTACTCAAGTAGAAGTACACACATCCTTTACTCAAGCAGAAGTACACACATCCTGTACTCAAGTAGAAGAACACACATCCTGTACTCAAGTAGAAGTACACACATCCTGTACTCAAGTAGAAGTACACACATCCTGTACTCAAGTAGAAGAACACACATCCTGTACTCAAGTAGAAGTACACACATCCTGTACTCAAGTAGAAGTACACACATCCTGTACTCAAGTAGAAGTACACACAGCCTTTACTCAAGTAGAAGTACACACATCCTGTACTCAAGTAGAAGTGCACACATCCTTTACTCAAGTAGAAGTACACACATCCTTTACTCAAGTAGAAGTACACACATCCTGTACTCAAGTAGAAGTACACACAGCCTTTACTCAAGCAGAAGTACACACATCCTTTACTCAAGTAGAAGTACACATCCTTTACTCAAGGAGAAGTACACATCCTTTACTCAAGTAGAAGTACACATCCTTTACTCAAGTAGAAGTACACACATCCTGTACTCAAGTAGAAGTACACACATCCTTTACTCAAGCAGAAGTACACACATCCTTTACTCAAGTAGAAGTACACATCCTGTACTCAAGTAGAAGTACACATCCTTTACTCAAGTAGAAGTACACATCCTTTACTCAAGTAGAAGTACACACATCCTGTACTCAAGTAGAAGTACACATCCTTTACTCAAATAGAAGTACACACATCCTGTACTCAAGTAGAAGTACACATCCTTTACTCAAGTAGAAGTACACATCCTTTACTCAAGTAGAAGTACAAATCCTGTACTCAAGTAGAAGTACACAGATCCTGTACTCAAGTAGAAGTACACACAGCCTTTACTCGAGCAGAAGTACACACATCCTGTACTCAAGTAGAAGTACACACATCCTGTACTCAATTAGAAGTACACACATCCTGTACTCAAGTAGAAGTACACACATCCTTTCCTCAAGTAGAAGTACACATATCCTTTACTCAAGTAGAAGTACACACATCCTGTACTCAAGTAGAAGTACACACATCCTTTACTCAAGCAGAAGTACACACATCCTGTACTCAAGTAGAAGAACACACATCCTGTACTCAAGTAGAAGTACACACATCCTGTACTCAAGTAGAAGTACACACATCCTGTACTCAAGTAGAAGAACACACATCCTGTACTCAAGTAGAAGTACACACATCCTGTACTCAAGTAGAAGTACACACATCCTGTACTCAAGTAGAAGTACACACATCCTGTACTCAAGTAGAAGTACACACACCCTGTACTCAAGTAGAAGTACATACATCCTTTACTCAAGTAGAAGTACACACATCCTGTACTCAAGTAGAAGTACACACACCCTGTACTCAAGTAGAAGTACACACATCCTTTACTCAAGTAGAAGTACACACATCCTGTACTCAAGTAGAAGTACACACAGCCTTTACTCAAGCAGAAGTACACACATCCTTTACTCAAGTAGAAGTACACATCCTTTACTCAAGGAGAAGTACACATCCTTTACTCAAGTAGAAGTACACATCCTTTACTCAAGTAGAAGTACACACATCCTGTACTCAAGTAGAAGTACACACATCCTTTACTCAAGCAGAAGTACACACATCCTTTACTCAAGTAGAAGTACACATCCTGTACTCAAGTAGAAGTACACATCCTTTACTCAAGTAGAAGTACACATCCTTTACTCAAGTAGAAGTACACACATCCTGTACTCAAGTAGAAGTACACACATCCTTTACTCAAGCAGAAGTACACACATCCTGTACTCAAGTAGAAGTACACACATCCTGTACTCAAGTAGAAGTACACACATCCTGTACTCAAGTAGAAGTACACGCATCCTGTACTCAAGTAGAAGTACACACATCCTTTCCTCAAGTAGAAGTACACACATCCTGTACTCAAGCAGAAGTACACACATCCTTTACTCAAGTAGAAGTACACATCCTTTACTCAAGCAGAAGTACACACATCCTGTACTCAAGTAGAAGTACACACATCCTTTACTCGAGTAGAAGAAGCACATCCTTTACTCAAGCAGAAGTACACACATCCTGTACTCAAGTAGAAGTACACACATCCTTTACTCAAGTAGTCAAAGTAAAAAGCCGTCAGTAAAGTAAGTAGTGGAGTAAAGTACTGATACCAGAAACATGTACTTAAGTATAGTAACGAAGTATTTGTGCTCCAATACTTCCTCCTCCTCTGATTAGTTATAGAAACAGACCAAGCAGCGCCCCCTGGTGTCTGAGGGTAGAAGGTCTCCTATTGTACTATTTGTAGTCATATACTACAGGTCTCAGATGTATATGAATATAAAAACATGTCTCTGAAGTGTTTGGTCCAACCCCCACAGATCATCGTAGCCCCCCCCCCCCCCCCCCCCCCTCTCCCTCTCTTCCAGCTGTTAGAGATGACTCTGGGTCTAACGGCCCGTCCACACTACAGCTTCAAAAAAAGCTTGCCGGCTGGCGTGTCTGAAGCTCGACCAACAACCAATCACATGAATCTCCCGCCCCTGAAACACAAGCAGCGGTTTGATTGGCTAGAGCTTGTACTGGCATATGATTTGATTGGCTGACGCTTCCACCGAAAGCTTCAGAAGCTTCAATAGTTAAACATTGCTCAACTTTTGCAGCCTGAAACGCCAGGAAAGCTCCGCTCTGCTTCCCACAATGCAGTTCGGCGAAAAGTGACGTCACCCCATTCAAAGTGAATGGGTGACGAGTTGGAAACCGTTTTTGAAGCTGTAGCCGTTACACAGACCATATCACTTCCAGAACAGTCTCTTTGTTTCTGACAGCAACGCTTCTGATTGGCCCGTGGGTCTAAAGCCCGCCCACATTTTAGTGATGTCGTCATGACGCGGCAAATCTGGATCAGCTCCGTTGTTCCCCGATTTTAGAGATGTGGGTACGGAGGAGAAGAGAGAGGGGTTTATTTCTGACACTTTGAGAGTCTCCTGACACACCGGGGACACACCGGGGACACACACAGGGGACACACAGGGGACACACAGGGGACACACCGGGGACACACAGGGGACACACCGGGGACACACAGGGGACACACACAGGGGACACACAGGGGACACACAGGGGACACACCGGGGACACACCGGGGACACACAGGGGACACACAGGGGACACACACAGGGGACACACAGGGGACACACACAGGGGACACACAGGGGACACACAGGGGACACACCGGGGACACACCGGGGACACACAGGGGACACACAGGGGACACACCGGGGACACACCGGGGACACACTGGGACACACCGGGGACACACCGGGGACACACACCGGGGACACACCAGGCACATGGGGGACACGCCGGGGACCTTTAAACGTGCCTTACCTCTAAAGTCCAGCAGGGGGCAACAATAAGTCTGATGATAGAAGTGTCTGCTGTGTCTCCAGGGGAAGAAGCTGTGGACCGTCCTCCTCCCGGCTCCCATCACCACCATGGCCTCCATGGAGCTCCCGACCCGGGGTCTGCAGGCGGTTCTGGTGGGTCTGGCTAACTGTGAGGTCCAGCTGTACCGAGACAAGAGCCTGCTGAGCACCATCAAGACCCCCGAGGTGGTCTCCAGCATCTGCTTCGGCCGCTACGGGCGCGAGGACGGGACGCTCATCATGACCACCAAGGTACTTGGAGAGGTCCCAGTTCTCCTACTGCCCTGCCGTGCTGCCCCTGAGCAAGGCACCTGACACCCCCCCCCCCCGGGCGCTGTGCAATCGCTGCTCCTAGTCAGGATGGGTTCAAAGCAGAGGACACATGTCACTGTGTTTCAAGGTCGAGGCTTTTATTGTCATGTGAGCAGAGCTACAGTGAAGATCTCAGGTCACAGGCTCAACAGATCAAATAGTGCAAGTAAATACAAATAAAATATAATATATTAGCAATAGTTCGAGAATAGTCTATAATATACAAGTAATTGGGATATTGATATAAGTTGCAAACAGATGCATGTTATGCGTGAATGTCATCCTCCGACTCTCTCTCTCTCAGGACGGCGGTCTGATCGTGAACATCCTGAAGAGGACGGCCTCCTTTGAGGACCGTGCGGCCGCGGCCGGGCCGCCGCTGGCTCAGAGTGTCCGGCTCAACGTGCCCAAGAAGACCAAGCTGTACGTGGACCAGACGCTGCGGGAGCGAGAGAGCGGCGCCGCCATGCACCGGGCCTTCCAGATGGACCTGAGCCGCCTGCGCCTGGCCGCCGCCGGCGCATACGTCAAGGTGGAGGACTGGTTTCTGTTCATTCCATTGTTTTACTTTGTCTGTCTGTGGGATTGTGTTTGGTGTTAAGCAGTATTTACATTGTTACTCTACCTATTTCTCTATAAAGTGAAGATTTGTTTACCTTCTTTTGAGACATGCTCTGATAGAATAACTGGATGCTGTTGAAAAAACCCAATAGACTAAGTGTAAATAAAAACAAGGTAAATGGCCCAATATACGGGTTCAGTATTCAGGGAGAAATACTTAAGAAGTGGATTTTGCATAATAGGTGAGCTTTGATGTCTTTCATTTTTGGAAAGCACTTTGAATTGCTTGTGTTGAATGGACTGTATGAATAAACGTGTCTCACCCTAAGGCTCTGGAGTCCAGCCTGACTCCGATGTCCTGCCGCCTCAGCGAGCCTCTGAAGATGAACGCCGTGGTGCAGGGCCTCGGTCCGGCCTTCAAACTCACGCTGAACGTCCAGAACACGGCGGCGTGTCGACCCGTCGCCAACCTGGCCGTCAGCTTCCTGTACGACGAGAGTCTGTACCGCATGCGGACGCCGTACCTGAGGATCCCGCTGCTGGTGCCCGGCGTCGTTTACCCCGTGGAAACCTTCGTGGAGTGCAGCAGCGACAAGGGCATCTCTGACATCATCAAAGTGTTCGTGCTGCAGGAGGGCAGCAGCGCGCCCCTGCTCAGCGCGCACATCAACATGCCGGTTAGTGAGGGGCTGACTATCAACTGAAAACAAGAAGTTAATATCAACATGCCGGTTAGTGAGGGGCTGACTATCAACTGAAAACAAGAAGTTCATATAAACATGCCAGTGAGAGAGGGGCTGACTATCAACTGAAAACAAAAAGTTCATATAAACATGCCAGTGAGAGAGGGGCTGACTATCAACTGAAAACAAAAAGTTCATATAAACATGCCAGTGAGAGAGGGGCTGACTATCAACTGAAAACAAGAAGTTAATATCAACATGCCGGTTAGTGAGGGGCTGACTATCAACTGAAAACAAGAAGTTCATATCAACATGCCGGTTAGTGAGGGGCTGACTATCAACTGAAAACAAGAAGTTCATATAAACATGCCAGTGAGAGAGGGGCTGACTATCAACTGAAAACAAGAAGTTCATATAAACATGCCAGTGAGAGAGGGGCTGACTATCAACTGAAAACAAGAAGTGCATATCAACATGCCGGTTAGTGAGGGGCTGACTATCAACTGAAAACAAGAAGTTAATATCAACATGCCGGTTAGTGAGGGGCTGACTATCAACTGAAAACAAGAAGTTAATATCAACATGCCGGTTAGTGAGGGGCTGACTATCAACTGAAAACAGGACTGACAAACATCACAGGAAAAACAAGAACTGACCAAAGAGGAAGAACTTTATTTATAAATACTTTACATTTTAGGAAATCTTCAACAATATGTATAACAAGGGAAAAAACAGAATTTCAGAGATTGAACAAATAAAGCCGTATTTTTTATTTTGAAAGAAAAATCCCTTACAATTCTGCTTTTTAATAATTATATTTTAATAATCACAGATCATTTTGTGGTAGATTTACCATTTTAATCAAGGAAAGTGAAGGTTTTACGAGGGTCTCGTTTGCATTACGAGGCCTTCGTAGATATTGCATCCACGTCTACAGGAATGATTTGTTCATTACAAAAAATATTTAAATATTGTACGATTAAATGTATTTCTGTTCCGTAGATTCGTCCATATTTAAATTAGTTTTGTGTTCATTTTACTACAGATTTATTATAAACTGTTTGAGTTCTCAGTGTACAAAATCACTGCAGACGAAAAAATACCTTTTGGTTTTATTTATGAATGTTTGTAAAGAAATATTTCCCGAACAAATAAAAAGTAATTTTCTGTGTTTTTGTAGTCTTGTACAAAATAAAATAAAATAATAAATAAACAAGATTGTAAAGCAGTCTTCATTTTTTAAAGGTAACACACTTTAAAGAGGTTTATTCTGCTTTTTGTCTGAAACACATTGGACTCCTTTGTTTACTTCTGGAACATAGTGACCTCACTAAGGAACACACGCTCCCATAGAGGTGCAGGGAGGACGTAGTTACCCTGAAGGAAGCTGCTGGTTCCCTCGACTAAAAAGCCTACTTGAAACATTGTGAAAAAGGATTTAAAAAATAGTATAAACTTTCGAAATAAAGTGTTTCCAGAGTGATGTAACAACGTGTGGAAACAGCTTCTGTTGCTGAGGGTAAACTCTGATGTTGGGAAATAGCAGAAAGCACCTGATGTGGACATTCCCCCGGAAAGAGAACGACGAGCTGTATAAAAGTCGAGAGAAGAAGAAGAAGAACAGACTGTATCTGGATCAAACTCTGGATTCAAAGATGAGACGCGTCTTCATTTTATTGGGTGAGAAACTGAATAACCTTCCGATTCATTCTAAAAATATTTTATACAAAAAATACAACTTCTTTTTAACTGTTGAGATTGTTCAATAAAAAGAGAAACACAAAAAATATTTAAAACATCAAAAAAGTACAAAACTCAGAAATGGGTGTTCTGGTTTATGTACTTTATGGGGACCAACTTAAGGTCCCCACATGGTAGCTAGTAAAGGTTTATGGTTTAACGTAATGTGTGTGTGTGTGTGTGTGTGTGTGTGTGTGTGTGTGTGTGTGTGTGTGTGTGTATGTGTGTGTTGTGTGTGTGTGTGTGTGTGTGTGTGTGTGTGTGCAGCTGTGTTGTGTGTGTGTGACGGCGTGATGTTCGGTCAGCTCTGCAATGGAAACTCTGCAAACAGCCGGAGGACGTCTGACAAATGGGGGAGGGGCAACTACGGAGCCAGCAGGTAACAACAACAACAACAACAACAACAACAACAACAACAACAACAACATTAACACAACTATAACATCAACACTACACATAGAGAGGTGCATATCTAAACCCTGACATGATCTCATCATTTCCTCACTTCCTGTCCCCTGGTCTGGATGTCAATGGTTTTCTGAATGTGTTTTTGGCTGTTATCTTGAATTAAGGTCTGGGATTAACACGAGCTGAAGAGATTTCAACGTTTTGTTCTATGACATAAAATACGTCAGTAAATACCCCACTGGTGGATTTAAAAACAGAGGTTGCTAACAAGAGTCTAAATGAGACGCCCAACATTAGCCTCCTTTAGCTTAGCGGTGGTGACGTGAAGTCATGTGACCCTGCTGTAGTTCCTTTATAGCCCAACATTAGCCTCCTTTAGCTTAGCGTGGTGACGTGAAGTCATGTGACCGTGCTGTAGTTCCTTTATAGCCCAACATTAGCCGCCTTTAGCTTAGCGGTGGTGACATGAAGTCATGTGACCGTGCTGTAGTTCCTTTATAGCCCAACATTAGCCTCCTTTAGCTTAGCGATGGTGACGCAAAGTCATGTGACCGTGCTGTGGTTCCTTTATATCCCAGCATTGGCCTCCTTTAGCTTAGCGGTGGTAACGTGAAGTCATGTGACCGTGCTGTAGTTAATTTATAGCCTAACATTAGCCGCCTTTAGCTTAGCGTTGGTAAAGTCATTTGAACGTGCTGTCGTTCCTTTATAACCCAACTTTAGCCACCTTTAGCTTAGCGGTGGAGACGTGAAATCATGTGACCGTGCTGTAGTTCCTTTATAGCCCAAAATTAGCCGCCTTTAGCTTAGCGGTGGTGACGGAAAGTCATGTGACCGTGCTGTGGTTCCTTTATATCCCAGCATTAGCCTCCTTTAGCTTAGCGGTGGTGACGTGAAGTCATGTGACCGTGCTGTAGTTAATTTATAGCCTAACATTAGCCGCCTTTAGCTTAATGTTGGTAAAGTCATGTTAACGTGCTGTCGTTCCTTTATAGCCCAACATTAGCCGCCTTTAGCTTAGCGGTGGTGACGTGAAGTCATGTGACCATGCTGTAGTTCCTTTATAGCCCAACATTAGCCACCTTTAGCTTAGCGGTGGTGACGTGAAGTCATGTGACCATGCTGTAGTTCCTTTATAGCCCAACATTAGTCACCTTTAGCTTAGCGGTGGAGACGTGAAATCATGTGACCGTGCTGTAGTTCCTTTATAGCCCTACATTAGCCGCCTTTAGCTTAGCGGTGGTGACGTGAAGTCATGTGACCGTGCTGTAGTTCCTTTATAGCCCAACATTGGCCTCCTTTAGCTTAGCGGTGGAGACGTGAAATCATGTGACCGTGCTGTAGCTCCTTTATAGCCCTACATTAGCCGCCTTTAGCTTAGCGGTGGTGACGTGAAGTCATGTGACCGTGCTGTAGTTCCTTTATAGCCCAACATTAGCCACCTTTAGCTTAGTGGTGGTAAGGTGAAGTCATGTGACCGTGCTGTAGTTCCTTTATAGCCCAACATTAGCCGCCTTTAGCTTAGCGGTGGTGACATGAAGTCATGTGACCATGCTGTAGTTCCTTTACAGCCCAACATTAGCCTCCTTTAGCTTAGCGGTGGTGACGCAAAGTCATGTGACCGTGCTGTAGTTCCTTTATAGCCCAACATTAGCCTCCTTTAGCTTAGCGGTGGTGACGTGAAGTCATGTGACCGTGCTGTGGTTCCTTTATATCCCAGCATTGGCCTCCTTTAGCTTAGCGGTGGTGACGTGAAGTCATGTGACCGTGCTGTAGTTAATTTATAGCCTAACATTAGCCGCCTTTAGCTTAGCGTTGGTAAAGTCATGTGAACGTGCTGTCGTTCCTTTATAGCCCAACATTAGCCGCCTTTAGCTTAGCGGTGGTGACGTGAAGTCATGTGACCGTGCTGTAGTTCCTTTATAGCCCAACATTAGCCGCCTTTAGCTTAGCGGTGGTGACGTGAAGTCATGTGACCGTGCTGTGGTTCCTTTATATCCCAGCATTGGCCTCCTTTAGCTTAGCGGTGGTGACGTGAAGTCATGTGACCGTGCTGTAGTTAATTTATAGCCTAACATTAGCCGCCTTTAGCTTAGCGTTGGTAAAGTCATGTGACCGTGCTGTAGTTCCTTTATAGCCCAACATTAGCCACCTTTAGCTTAGTGGTGGTGACGTGAAGTCATGTGACCGTGCTGTAGTTCCTTTATAGCCCAACATTAGCCGCCTTTAGCTTAGCGGTGGTGACATGAAGTCATGTGACCATGCTGTAGTTCCTTTATAGCCCAACATTAGCCTCCTTTAGCTTAGCGGTGGTGACGCAAAGTCATGTGACCGTGCTGTAGTTCCTTTATAGCCCAACATTAGCCTCCTTTAGCTTAGCGGTGGTAACGTGAAGTCATGTGACCGTGCTGTGGTTCCTTTATATCCCAGCATTGGCCTCCTTTAGCTTAGCGGTGGTGACGTGAAGTCATGTGACCGTGCTGTAGTTAATTTATAGCCTAACATTAGCCGCCTTTAGCTTAGCGTTGGTAAAGTCATGTGAACGTGCTGTCGTTCCTTTATAGCCCAACATTAGCCGCCTTTAGCTTAGCGGTGGTGACGTGAAGTCATGTGACCGTGCTGTAGTTCCTTTATAGCCCAACATTAGCCGCCTTTAGCTTAGCGGTGGTGACGCAAAGTCATGTGACCGTGCTGTAGTTCCTTTATAGCCCAACATTCGCCTCCTTTAGCTTAGCGGTGGTGACGTGAAGTCATGTGACCGTGCTGTGGTTCCTTTATATCCCAGCATTGGCCTCCTTTAGCTTAGCGGTGGTGACGTGAAGTCATGTGACCGTGCTGTAGTTAATTTATAGCCTAACATTAGCCGCCTTTAGCTTAGCGTTGGTAAAGTCATGTGAACGTGCTGTCGTTCCTTTATAGCCCAACATTAGCCGCCTTTAGCTTAGCGGTGGTGACGTGAAGTCATGTGACCGTGCTGTAGTTCCTTTATAGCCCAACATTAGCCGCCTTTAGCTTAGCGGTGGTGACGTGAAGTCATGTGACCGTGCTGTGGTTCCTTTATATCCCAGCATTGGCCTCCTTTAGCTTAGCGGTGGTGACGTGAAGTCATGTGACCGTGCTGTAGTTAATTTATAGCCTAACATTAGCCGCCTTTAGCTTAGCGTTGGTAAAGTCATGTGAACGTGCTGTCGTTCCTTTATAGCCCAACATTAGCCGCCTTTAGCTTAGCGGTGGTGACGTGGAGTCATGTGACCATGCTGTAGTTCCTTTATAGCCCAACATTAGCCACCTTTAGCTTAGCGGTGGTGACGTGAAGTCATGTGACCGTGCTGTAGTTCCTTTATAGCCCAACATTAGTCACCTTTAGCTTAGCGGTGGAGACGTGAAATCATGTGACCGTGCTGTAGTTCCTTTATAGCCCAACATTAGCCTCCTTTAGTTTAGAGGTGGTGAAGTCATGTGACCGTGCTGTAGTTCGTTTATAGCCCAACATTAGCCTCCTTTAGCTTAGAGGTGGTGACGTGAAGTCATGTGACCGTGCTGTAGTTCCTTTATAGCCCAACATTAGCCACCTTTAGCTTAGCGGTGGTGACGTGAAGTCACTCAAGGAGATTATCCTGCTGAAAAAAACTTGTAAAATATCATAAATGTTTGTTTACATCCCTACAGTACAGTTGCATTGTGGGACATGTAGTCTCCAGTGTCAGGTTTGTACCATTGGTTACTGTTAACTAGGGATACTAAAATAAAATATTTGTTATATTTTTACGGGTGTTTGTTGTGTTTCAGAGGGGCCCGGCTCCACAAAGGTCTGGACATCGTGTGCAGCGACGGATCGATCGTCTACGCTCCGTTTGACGTGACGTTAAACGGGAAAGTCACCGTGTACAACGACCCCAATAAGGCGGCCATCAACAGCGGCATCAACCTGAGTGGAGAGGGTTAGCATCACATTAGCTGTTAAATATCTAACGTTTGTCATGTGACTTACTGACAGTAAAGTGTGTTTTCACACACTGACAGTAAAGTGTGTGTTTTGCAGGTCTGTGCTTCAAGCTGTTCTACGTGCAGCCGGACCGGACCTCGGGCACGGTGAGGGCAGGGCAGCGGCTCGGCGTCATGCTGCCGATGCAGAGCGTTTACCCAGAAATCACCTCTCACATCCACGTCCAGATGTGCGACCGCAGCGACCCCACGCCGCACTTCTGATCCAACAGAACTGAGTTCTCATTTAATTTCTTGTTATAAACCAATAAAACCTAAAGACAGTGTTGTGGTGTTTCTTGAAATAAAGCCACGTCCAAACTAATGTATTACGCAGCTTAGTTGAATACACGATTCTGATTGGTTCATTTGGATATTTCAGAGATTGTTTTTCTTAGTAATACCAACATTTTTAAGTCAATAAAATAATTTTCAATTATTTCTGAAAGTTGGTTTATTAAGTGTTGATTTATTTAATGTGTGTGTAATAATCGGGATAATGTGCAGCGAGGAGCTTCATTAATGACCGCCTCGCTGCACATGAAACCTTTAACCACTCCTTCTCAGCTCCATCTGACATACAAGCATCTCCCCCAACCTCCACCGCCACCACTTCTCCCCCCATCTCCCTTGAGCTCCTGACTCCTCCTCCCCAGCGCCGCCTCTCCCAGTTCAACCTGGTTACCCCACTTGAAATACTCCATCTGATCGGTTCCTCAAATCCCACAACCTGCTCCCTTGACCCTCTACCCACTCCTCTCCTGAAGTCCTGCCTCCCCGTCCTCTGACCCTATCTTGCTAACCTTTTCAACTCCTCGCTGTCCTGGAACCGTCCACTCTGCTTTCAAAACTGCTGCCATTACTCCAATCCTCAAGAAACCTGGTCTTGATCCCTCCTCCCTCACTAATTACCGCCCCATCTCCAACCTACCATTCCTCTCAAAAACTCTTGGATGCATTGTAGCCAAACAAATTCACTGCCATCTCCAAACCAACCGGCTTTATGAACCCCTTCAGTCTGGATTTCGTCCTCACCACAGTACAGAAACTGCACTCGTCAAAGTCCTCAATGACCTCCTCACCTCTGCTGACACTGGTTCCCTCAATATTCTCATCCTCCTCGACCTGAGTGCAGCCTTCGATACCGTGAGCCACAACATCCTGCTCACCCGACTCAGGGACATTAGTATTGAAGGTATTGCACTCAGCTCCAGTCCTACCTCACTGAACGATCCCACTTCATCTCCCTCCCAAACCATTCCTCTGCCACAGCTTCAGTCATCCAAGGCGTTCCTCAAGAATCAGTACTTGGCCCCCTCCTCTTCATCATTAACATCCTCCCCCTCGGTCAGATACTCCGCCACTTCAACCTGGACTTCCACTGCTATGCTGAAGACACTCAGATCTACCTCAGCACCAAATCCCTCCATAACCCACCCCTTACCTACATCGATTCCTGTCTGACAGCTATTACAACTTGGATGCAACATAACCTCCTCAAACTGAACAGCAACAAAACAGAACTCCTCCTAATCGGCTCCAAATCCACCCTCAGCAAGGTCACTAACATAACTCTCACCATCGATGGCACCATTGTTTCCCCCTCCAATCAGGCATGCCACCTTGATGTATTCTTTGACCCCACCCTCTCCCTCGAACCTCACATCCGCCAAACAGTCAAAACCGAATTTTTTCACCTCCTCAATATTGCAAAAATCCTACCCTCTCTCACCCGCCCCGCAGCCGAGCGACTAATCCATGCCTTCATTTCCTCCCGCCTTGACTACTGCAACTCACTTCTTTACGGCATCAGCACTACATCCCTCAACAGACTCCAACGGGTTCAAAATGCAGCTGCACCTCTCCTCACGCATACCAAACCATGGCATCACATCACCCCAGTCCTCAAAGACCTCCACTGGCTTCCTGTCTCCCATCGCATCAACTACAACATTCTGGTCCTCACCTACAAAGCACTCCACCATCTGGCCCCCCCTTATCTCACAAACCTTCTCACTCCTTATCAACCCCCACGGCCCCTCAGATCCACCGCAGCCGGACTCCTATCCATTCCCACATCCACACTCTGCAGCTTTGGGGACAGAGCCTTCTCAGTGGCAGCTCCTAGGCTCTGGAATTCCCTCCCCCAAGATCTCTGTGACTCTGAGTCCCTCACAGTCTTTCAGTCCCGCCTCAAAACACATCTTTTCAACTCTGTCTACCCATAAGCCCCCCCCTCTCAATCAACTTCCTCTTGACTGCCTTTTTATTTATTTATTTTATTTTACTATACTTACTTGTTTGCCTGTCCTTGTTTGTCTACCCTCCCTCATACTGTAAAGCGTCTTTGAGTTGTGAAAAGCGCAAGATAAATAAAATGCGTTATTATTATTATTATTATTATAATAACAGAGTGAAGACATCACATCAGCTTTATGCTTCTCATTTATTGTCAGGGTGCAGAAGATAGTGATTCACAACAAGATTCAGTTTGACTTTAAAACGTAGACATTATCCCACTGTGTGGATCTGTTTCCATCTTAAAGTGATGAGTGATTACATGTGATCGATATCAGCTGAGGACATGTTGCTGTCCTGCAGAACTACTGCACAGGACGGACCATCATGCTGATGGATTTCAGGGAGTAGTCGTGACCCTTCCAAGTGTACCAGCTCACTCCTATAGCAAAAATAGTGCCATCAGCCCCCCAAAGATAAACCCCGTTGGGATTTGTGTGGTGACAATTGGAGTACCAGAACCCCCCCAGGTGTGATCTGGCACAGTTATATTCATGGATGTCCTGGTCTTTGTCGAAGGTGGAGAACTTCTGTCTGTTATGATGATTCATGGAGTCTCCTGCAGAAACACAACAAGTGTATAATCAGAATATTATAATACAACTAACACAGGGATGAAGTATTGTTAAGTTCTGTGTTGGTCCCTGAAGGCAGCAGGCCCCTGGTCCAATGGGATTTCTCCATGTGATTTTGGAATATAGCAGAAAGTAATCTCCACATATTAACAACACTGAATCCAGACACATGCAAAGTGAACCCGGAGGCCTCGGGGTCCACGGAGAACGAGGAGTACCGAGCGAACACTTTGTTGCCTTCAAAGTCCTCCATGTCCACCAGCAGCTCGTACTTCTTCCTCAGAGTCAGGTGGGAGAGAGTGTCCAGACCTGCAGACAAACAGACACCATGAACGCTAGGAAACTGAGAGTTTGATCAAGTCAGGACCTCCGGTTCGTCTTCATCTCTCACCGAGCCAGTATTCTCCGACAGCGTTACCAAAGCCCGTCTTGTAGTGATCCCAGGGCCGGTAGAAGTTCACGGAGCCGTCCACCCTCCTCTGGAACACCTGGGGGAAATACTAAATCTCTCAGCAAATATAATGGACATTTCCAGTCCATGGAAAAAGAGCATAACAGAGTCTAACCAGCCTCTACGGGGAACAGGAGCCAACAGTAGATCTAAGGTGGAGCCTCTGGTTTCTCACTGCCATTCACTGAATGCATCCAGGAGCTAACCTGACTAGCATGGTTTAGCTAACACACTTCAAGTGTCCCAACGGTCTCTGGAGAGATTTATCAAACTGTAGATTTGATAGATTAGACTAAATACTTTACTTTGTTGATCCTGCACAAAGATACTGTACGTATTGTTGAGATCTTCATATTAGGTTGAATCATTCAAACGAAAGTTAGTTATAATCAAATATAGTCAATTATATTCTTGTATAACCCACAATGCAAATGTTTCATATGTTATGCTTTTCTATATTTACAGTATAAACAAAGTGGTTTGTTAAGTTGAGTGTAAGGCCTGTAATGGTTTATGGGTGTCACTGATAAGAGGAGAGGCAGTTTCTTCCCTCTTCCCTCACAGCAGTACACAGGGAGGGGGGCTCCTGACTTAAGGAGAAATACATTGAGGCCCCAAAAAGGAGGTTATGTCATAGACGAGAATAATATTTTGCAAGTCCTGCAGGGGTCATGTCCTTTTTAAACAAACATGGGCAGGTGTGTCTTATGCCATAGCCATAGAATATGTCTGGTTATGTCCAGTCCTGTACATCAGAGGCCATGCCCAGTTTCCACAAATATGGGTATGGAGGAGGGTCTTTAGGTTTCTATATCCTGTTGTTGAGCATAAAGACACTGGCAGAGAGAGAGCAAACGAGAGAGAGAGCAAACGAGAGAGAGAGAGAGAGAGAGAGAGAGAGAGAGAGAGAGAGAGAGAGAGAGAGAGAGAGAGAGAGAGAGAGAGAGAGAGAGAAAGGAGAGAGAGTTTTTTTTTTTTTTCTTCTCTCTCCTACTCTCTCTCTCTCATCCGCTCTCCTCTTCTCTCTGGCTCTCTCTCTCTCTCTCTCTCTCTCTCTCTGCGATCTCATCTCTCTCTCTCTCTTGTAATCGAGAGAGTAAGGTTCTCTCAGACTTGGTAAATATCTCTCAAATGTCTTGGTTGAATGCTGAGGGAATTTCTTTGTGAAATGAGTGGAATGATTAGATATCTGATGTGTTTGTGAATATTAGGCCCGACAGCTGTGAGGAATCTTCCTCAAAATTCATGCGGATAGGAATGGGTTTTTGAATGTTATTCCCGCCATCTGTCGGAAAACAAAGGTATGGAATTGATGTGAATTAATTTGGTGAATTAAAGTTAAATGTGCTTTTTATTATCACCGGTCTTTTACGAGGTAAGACCTCTAAATTCTATAAAAATCGCAACTGAATTGGGCACTTGAAGTTACAATTTATGGTAATCAATGTAAAACTGTGAATTAAAGTTTCATATTAGAACATGATCACAGCATGGTAGGTTTAGTATGATTATAATGTGGTAAAGAGAGAAGGTAAAAACCCTGTATTAGTTTGGACCTATTTTTCTTCAAATAAACTGATCCCACCTTTTGGACTGGGACAACTTCAAAGACATCTGCGCTCTCCTCTCCTGCTTCAAAGGTAAGACTGCACCCTGCCACTCACACTTAGGTAGGAACACACCTCATTTACTGATATCAAAATCCTTCAGGATCGCTCAAACAGATTTAGAGTCGTCTGAATTGAAACAGCAGTTAATTGAACCTGGTTCTTCAGGAGTTAGTAGAGGTGAGATCTTGCTGACCTTGGTGGATCTGAGCCAAGCAGTAAACTTACATAGACTCAATAACTTCGGTTAGGTCAGTTAGTAGGTCTGAGTCATTTCCCGGAATAAATGATCAGCTCCTCCCGACTCTAACAGTATATTTCATCTCTGCTGTCTGACCAGGTTTCAGTTCATAG